GAATAATGCTACGATGAACATAGGGGGTACATATGTTTTTGCAAATAAATGATTTCAATTTTTTCAAGTAGATACCCAGAAGAGGTATTGCTGGGTTGTATGGTAACTCTATTCTTACTTTTTTTTAAAGGAACCTCTATACTATTTTCCTCAGTGACTTTACCAGTTTATATTCCCACCAACAGTGAATGAGGGTTCCTTTTTCCCCACAACCTCTCCAATATTTGTTATTACTTGTCTTATTGATGATAGCCCTTCTAACGGATGTGAGGTGGTATCTCATTATCTTTTGATGAAGAATCATTTCCACTGTTATATGCACCAGATACACTCTTGTATGAACCACTACAGATATGCACAATAATATTAATATTTTACTTTTTGTAATGAAAGGGCTTAATCAACAGTCAATAGAGACCTGGTAAATGCCTGGTTGAACCCCCACAGAATAAAATAATATTGAGACATTTAAAAGCATAAGCTCTACATGGAGGAAGTAGATATACTGTTGAAGTGGAAAAGCAAGGCAGACAGTGAACACAGAAAAAAACCAAGCCAGCCGAAACCGGTTTGGCTCAGTGGATAGAGCGTCGGCTTGGGGACTGAAGGGTCCCGGGTTCAATTCTGGTCAAGGGCATGTACCTTGGTTGCGGGCATATCCCCAGTAGGCGGTGTGCAAGAGGCAGCTGATTGATGACTCTCCCTCATCGATGTTTCTAACTCTCTATCTCTCTCCCTTCCTCTCTGTACAAAATCAATAAAATATATTAAAAAAAAAAAACACAAAAAACCAAGCCATACTTAGAGAAAGGGAGTTACATTTTACTAAGTGCAGGGCCAGAGAAAAATGTGCCATTTCAAATTCTGTCTCCCCCCCTCCGCCCCTCCTTCCCGCTGGAGGAAACCTTTTCTATTTATACTTTTCCTAGCTCTTTTGTCTCTCAAATTTGAAATGAGACTTCTGGGCCTTCTGAGAAAGAAGGCCTACGTGCTGGGAAGGGGCCATGAGACCATATCTCAAGGCCTGGCCTGGAGTCAGCACTGACAACTCTGCCTGGGCATAGTCCACGGCCTCTCTGGAATGGGTGTAGTCTTATATTCCTTATTATTTAAGCAAGCAAGCATTTACAGAAGCCAAAATAGCAGGGTTAAAATTTCAAACAGCAGTTTTTATGTAAGATGGATGCTTCACCATGACTTATATTTGTACCTTTGGCGTTTTATTTGTTTATTTTCTATTAATCATCAGTAGAAAATTCTCACCTTTATTTTTAGCACTTTATATATTACGTCTGACATAATGCTTTTCTCCAATAATTTTTAAATGACATATTACTTTCAATAAGAGGTAACCTTCATCCTCATTCTCACTCTCACTTTCACACCTTTCCAGGAACCTGTCACACACTTTTTATTCAATGACATCATGCATCTTAAAAGAAAATAAATTAAAGTTCTATGGCATTATTTTATAAACATGAGTTTATTAAAAAGGAAATGTTTTCCTTATACTAATTTTCTAATAAGTAAAAACTACCAGAAGGAAAGGAGGGTGAGGACAAGTAGATCACAAAGGGGGAATAAATGGTAATGGGAGGAGACTTATTAATAACTTGGATTGAACACAATATAATATATAGATGACATATTATAGGATTGTACACTTGAAGCCTATATAATTTTATAACCAATATAACTCCAATAAATTTAATAAAAGTATTTTTTTAAAAACAAAACACAGAGCCCACTACAAGTACTATGTTGAAATGAAAGAATTACAGAATATTTGCAGATACTGAAAAGAGTTGTAATGTAGTTCAGAAAGACAACAGAACCACAGAAGCTGAACACCAATAAAATATTTATATGGAAATTTAAGCCAAGAATGAAGGCCAAGTCACAAGCCTGTAAATTAATTATTAATTGTCAAATTAACCCTAGGGACAGTCTGAGTTCAGAGGACGGTGGTTGGGTTATATTTTTATGGTGACTTAAACTACCCCCAAATTTATAAACTTAACACAACAGTGGTGCTGTTACACCTCACAACGGAGTGGGCCAGGGGTTCAGGCAGGGGTGCAGCCAGGCAATACTCCCTCCCTTAGGACCATCACCAGGTGCCCAGCTGGCCCCGGCCTTGTCTGCAGGCTTCCGGAAGGGCACTGCACTGACCTAGCACCTTGCTGCCCCGTGGTTAGCCTCTTTCCCCGCATCACGTGGTCCTGATCCTGTATGTGGTTTGGGCTTCTCACGGCAGGATTCTCTCATTTCTTTCCCGACAAGCTGACTGGTAAGAGTGAGGGGAAAGGAAGTGGATCCTCTTGTGGTCCGGATCTGGTAACTCTCACAGGGTTCCCTCAGCAATATTCAGTAGGTCACAGAACCCACACACGTGCAGAGAAGAAACAGGACTCTCCTTCCTCCTCCGCAGTGCTCAAGGTGAGGAGCGGGTCAAGGCATGCCTGGCTACGTTTAATTCGCCATGGAGGAAAATTTCAACTTGAACCAAAAAGGTCAGGAGAAGCCACACAGGGAAAGATGGTCTGAAAGGGTATGGAGCATTTGAAAAAGGAGAGTGAGGATTAAGGCCACACATGTCCAACAACATCTACATTTAAACACTAACAGGGGGAGCAAGGCTTTCAAACTGCTTAGCAAGACAAGAATTCCACTTCAACTTGTTTTGCTTTAACAACAAGAGTGACAGTGGGAATTAGCCTCAACCTGGGCAAATCACTCCTTCCAGTTCATAAACAGGCTAACTCAGCCGGAGACATGCTTTTCTGTTGCATGAAGTCGGCTTATTTGAAGAAAGGTGAGTTTGAGCTTACGGATATTATAGGACTAATTGGGGAGGGTCGGTCCTCTCTCACTGACTCTCTGCAGGTGATGGGAAGGCTCACAGTCAGTGCTGCGATGGATGCGGCTGGGCACTTTGGGTTCAGTAAGTGGGCCAAGGCCCTGAGGGGGTGGTCCTGTTAGACCTATAGTCCTTCCAGTCCCTCATAGGCTTGTCAGAAAGGCTCAGTCCTTATAACCATCATTTCTGGCTGAGAAGAGGCTGTCTTAGATTTGTAGATTATAGGTCAACAGATTAATATTCTAGATTAATATTCACATTGTGTGTGTATGTGAGAGAGAGAGAGAGAGAGAGAGAGAGAGAGAGAGAGAACTCCACGTAACACACAGAGCCTAATTGCCTACTTTGAACACCACCTGGCACTTGGTAGACATTGAATATTGGTTAATGAACTGTATTACTCATATTCTCTCAACACCAATTTAAATAACATATATTCTTTCTCCTGGGTTTGCCTATATACTATTAAACGAGAAACAGGAGACTCTCTTAGTAACACCTACCAATTAAAACTTAAGCACTCCTGCCTGAAGTGAGCACAGCTCTGGTTTAGCATGCCAAGTTTGAAAATGTGTATATCACATTTTCTTTTAACCTTAACCCTCTATTTTTTGGACACATATATTTTGAATTTTTTAATATGAAATTTGACATCCCAAAACAAAGTAGGAGAAAATACAACTCATTAGAAATGCTTTTAGAAAAACAATAACATCTTTTTCTTTTTTAATTGATTTCAGGGAGGGAGTGGGGAGAGAGATGGAAACTTCAATGTTGATTGGCTGCCCCCAATTGAGGATCAAGCATGCAGCACAGGCATGTGCCCTTGACTGGAATCGAACCAGGGACCCTTCTGGAGACCAACGCCCTATCCACTGAGCCAAACCAGCCAGGGCAAACCCTACAAATTTTAATGTTAGAGCATCCCGGGAAACCATCAGATCTTATTAGAGTTTTATGTAACAATGGAGATTCTTGCCAAAACCGGTTTGGCTCAGTGGATAGAGCATTGGCTTGTGGACTGAAAGGTCCCGGGTTCAATTCCGGTCAAGGGCATGTACTTTTTTGCGGGCATATCCCCAGTAGGGGTTGTGCAAGAGGCAGCTGATCCATGACTCACTCTCATCGATGTCTCTCACTCTCTATCCCTCTATCTTCCTCTCTGTAAAAAATCAATAAAAAAATATTAAAACAAAACAAAACAAAAAAACCAATGGAGATTCTTCCTCTCTGTAAAGCCCTAGGGTTTAGTTGTTGTTGTTTTTTTATTTGGTAGTGAGCAGTGCAAATTCCAAGCTCCAGCCTTGCTGAGTAAATAGCATCCTAAACTGCTCCAGTCCGAAGCAGGCCCACGGCTCTGCATGGGTTACAGGAGGGATTTTCATAAGTTTTTGTTTCCAGAGCTCTGGGCGGCTCCTCAAATCTGCTGGGCTCAGGAAGCAAAAGGGAAAGAAAAACAGATACAATACATTAGGGCCTTGGGACTCTCCGGACTCCACCGTTAATCCTTCAGGGACTGGAGGGGAGGCTGCGTGGGACTGGTCCTCAGAGCAGAGAAAGATGAGCCCAGGATGCAGGCCGCTGGATGCGCCTTCCCCAGCGCAGACCTAAGTCTCCCTCGTGCCCCACAGGTGCGGGGAGCAGAGCGGTGTCCTCACACTCCCATCTGCCCCATCGATGTAAACAGTGAACCTACTTCAAATGAAGAGCAAACAGTCTGCAGACATCATATGCAATATATTACACTATACTATATATATATATTACACCTATGTATACAGGCATTTATACATGTGTATATGTATTAATACATATATAATTTCAACCTCTCCCCCAGGGGATGGGTCGGACATCCGCTGCCCCTCCCAGACCTGCCAGATCCCCAGGGTGGAGGCGGGCGAGGCTGCCCTGGGCAGTGGCCACCGCACATCCCTCCGGGCGGGCGCGCCTGCGGCAATCTGGCTGCGGCCCGTGAGCAGCGTGATGGATGGAGGCCCTGGGCGGCGGGGCGGGCCTGGAGAGAGTCCCGGGGAGGAGGGCAGGGCACTGGGCAGGGCACTGGGCAGGGCACCGGGCCGGCCCCTCCCACTCCGCCTTTCCTGGCGCTTCCTGTCCCCCAGACAGGCACTGGGCGCTGGGCCGCGGAGTGTGTGCAGGTGCTCCAGGCACCCAGGGCAGGGCGGCGAGGGACCTGCCTCTGCGAGGACCGAGGGAGCCCGGGCACCATGCGCGCTCCCCGCGGCCCGCGGGGGCCCGCGGCGCAGCCCCAGCCTCTGCTGCTCCTGTGCCTGCTGGCGGCGGGGCGCCCCGGCTCCGCGGATGACCGTCCCCCAGGTGCGGGGTGCCGGGCCGGAGGGCGGGGCGCAGGGAGGGTGCGGGGTGGGGGGTCTGCAGGGCCCGCGCGCACCCCAGGCTCCGGCTCCGGCTCCGTGCGGGAAGGGGCGAGGATGCGGGAGAGGCCGGTGAGCAGTGACGGTGGCGCCTTCCATTGGCCAGGCTCCGGTTATCCAGGCTGGCCGAGGGGCTGGGGCGGGCAGGGGACCTCCTCTGCAGGGCCTGCATCTGGAACCCACAGCGCCTGGGAGTGGGGCAGGAGGGTATTGTCTCCATGTTTCGGAGAAGAGGGTGGTAGGGTGTGCGGGGGGCGAGGGGGCAGGCACAGGCAGGGACTGGCTTCTGGGAAAGTGCTCTGTGTATTCAAGAAGCTATTCACCGAGGGCTTAAACAGCACCTACTTTATTCCAGCGGGCAGGTTGGCTTTGAGGGTGTGAAACAGCAATGCAGCAACAAGCAAACAATCAAACAAAGCCTTACAACTCATTGTAAGGCTCCACCCTGGGGATCTGGCAGGTCTGGGAGGGGCAGCGGATGTCCGACCCATCCCCTGGAGGAGAGGTTGAAATTATATACGTACATATACACATGTATAAATGCCTGTATACATAGGTGTAATATATATAGTATAGTGTAATATATTGCATATGATGTCTGCAGACTGTTTGCTCTTCATTTGAAGTAGGTTCACTGTTTACATCGATGGGGCAGAGAGAGGGAGGGAGGGAGGGAGAAAGGGAGGGAGGGAGAAAGGGAGGGAGGGAGGGAGGGAGAGAGAGAGAGAGAGAGAGAGAGAGAGAGAGAGAGAGAGAGAGAGAGAGAGAGAGAGAGAATTCTGTTTTTACACCATGGTCTTTGACAGTGAAGTTTTGTTAAAAACAAATTGAAAGAGGTATTCGTGGGCAAAATATTACAAAAGCAATGCCAAATTTGCCATCTTCAGCTTCACCTGTTTAGAATTCCTTTTTAGTGGAAAACTTTCCACCTAACCTGTTTTCTAACGCCCACTCACTCCTGTGTCAGCAGCCACTTAGGGTAACAGGCCGCCTCTCAAGCCGGCAAATACTGCCCATCAGTTAGCTAAAACTGGAATATTATGCTACACAGGGTTTTCAGCTTTTCGTAGGAATTAATTTTCTATGGGCCTATAGATTTTTCGCCAGATACCATGAAGGCGGAAAGGTAATCAAAGGACATGATTATTAATTTAAAAAAAAAATAAATGTCCTTTCAAAGTTGATGGCCTAGTTGTTCACAGCTTGGACACGTTTTGGCTGCTTCAGTTTCTTCATGTCCTCGCCTCACATCTCTTTTCCATTCACACCGAGTACAAAGGACTGGCCAGGCCATTCCGTCTCTTCCCCCCCCACCCCCCAGGCTTTCCTTGGTTCCCCATCTCTGCATCAGCCTTCATTCACCCCAGATCATGGGTTACTCCTGGAACTTGGCTGTTGGATATGGCTGTTCCTTGGAATTTCCAGGGAATTAAAAAGTGCTCCCTGGATCTTGCCCTCAGAAATTCTAATTCAGCCCTAGCCAGTTTGGCTCAGTGGTAGAGTCTCAGCCTACAGACTGAAGGGCCCCTCCCATGTTCATTCTGGCTGGATCCTGAGGCAACCAATAGATGTGTCTCTCTCCCATCAATGTTTCTCTCTCTGTGTGTCTCTCCACCTCCTTTCCACTCTCTCTAAAAATCAATGGGAAAATATCCTCATGTGAGGATTAACAAAATAATAATAATATTAATCAAAAAACAAAAATTCTGGTTCAGATGGCCTGGGGTTCAGCCTGGACATCTGGAGTTTTTCAATTCCTCCGTGTATTTGTAATCATGTGACCCTGAGCAGGTTGGAAACCTAGACTTTAAAGGGATATGTCATCCTCAAGAGTGCACTGCTGGGCAGTTAGTTATTCTGTTGGCACCAAGGGGCCCAGGTTTAATCTGACATGCAGAGGAGACTTCTAAAGAGAAACTAAAAGGCAAAAAACAACCCTGGAATGCATCAGCAAAAAAAGTGTATGCATGTATGGCAATTGTCTGTGTATTAGTGTCACTGTTGCCCTTTCAGCTTCTCTTAAGGCAAAATTATGCCATAGAAAAGGCATGGGGTTAAAATCTAATTTTAAGGAAGAATTAGAAGTTGTCAGACAACTTCATCTTGTTTTTTAGATTCTGCATTGACCTCCGTGAGACTCCATTTCCTGATTGCTAAAAAACAGTGTGAAGTTTCCTGCCATTTTTTTAAATTGAGATGCTTTGAACTACTTACATATTGGTGTTCTATAAGCCAAAGGCTTTTGACCAAATTTTAATGTTAAAAATGGTTATACTTTTTCCTATTAATTGTAGAACAACTGTGTGTCTTGCATAGGCATTGCATTATGCAGTTTATATACCTAGCATTGTCTATAAATGTTATTGCCCAAAATATTCCATTTCAATCTAATTAAAGAAGTTCTAGATTTAAGGCTATATGGCTATGACAAATAAATGTGCAATCCCTGATTTAATCTTAAAAGTTAAACATTTTGATATCAAATATGAGAATTTTATTACAGATATATTACATCAGCATAGTTTTTAATTTATAATGTTAATTATTATAGATAAGAGATAAAATGTCCTTTTACTTAAGAAATATATGGGGGTGGGGATGGGAGACATCTGACTGTGTTAGCTTTTATTGACTCTGACTCTGAGATGAGGAAATTGGAACTTAGTGAGGTTAAATCATTGCCAAAGCACCTTAGTTAATTAAGTAGTAGAGCAGGAAACTTAGCATTGTTCAGCCAATTCCAAAGCTTGTTTTCCAAAGGCTTTACAGCAGCGACTCACAGGTTGAGAACTGCTAGCAGGGTTGCCTAAGACCATCGGAAAACACATATTTACAATAGGATTCATTAACAGTAGCAAAATGAGTTATGAAGTAGCAACGAAAATAATTTTATGGTTGGGGGGTCACCACTACATGAGGAACTGTATTAAAGGGTCGAGGCATTAGAAAGGTTGAGAACCACTGGTCTATATCTACATAGAAAACTTTACCAGTTTTTAACCTTTCAAGGTGTTTAAAATGTTTAAAGGAACAGTTGAATTGGAATCATATCTTTAATAGGGCTGTATATGATGCATCAAAATTTTGACCTTAAATGTATCATAACATTTAAAATTATATTATATGAGCATTTTAAAAAAAAATCCTCACCCAAGGATATGTTTATTGATTTTTTAGAGAGAGGAAGTGAAAGAGAGGATGAGAGGGAAACTTCAATCTGTTGCCTCCCATACCCACCCCGACCACAGATCAAATTTGCAACCTGAACCTGGGTATGTGCCCTGATGGGGAATGGAATCTGCATCACAACCTTTTTTAAAGGTCTCTCCTCTTCCTGGTCTTCTGTCACACCTCCTATACTCCTCTTCCTTCTTTCCCAAATGTTTCCCTTCCTGCAGCCGCGAGGAGGGGAAATGCAGAAAGCATCCTCTGTTGTTGCACTCTAGGAGCCAACGGGGCCCAGATCAGGGAATTAGAGGCCTAGCCGGGTCAGGATGGTGTCAGGAGAGCAGCCTCAGTGCTGTGTTAAGGCCTGAGCACAGGAGGGTGGGTGCTCCCACAGAGGGCGGCCTACAACTGAGCGGTGACCAGGTCTGTTTGCAAGCCCAGCTGCCACGTGTTTCTGGCTCTGATCAGGGGATGAAGGAGAGCAGGCAGGACCTCTTTGGGGCCTGGAGTGGCAGTGGGAGATTAGTTACACAGACTAATCTGAGGGGGACGGACAGATCAAATAAGTAAAGCTAGTAAGGAGATTAGGACCAGGCTTTTCACTGGAAGAAAATGAAATATACAGATCATGCATCATAGAAGTGTACGGTTGAAATGTACATAATTTTACCAACCAATGTCACCCCGATAAATTGAATACCGTATTTTCCGGTGTATATGACGACTTTTGAAACGAAAAAAATAGCCTGCTCAGATTGGCCAGTCAGAGAAGCGGTCTATTAAAAAAAGAACTGGTGTTGCCTCAGAAGTGGGAGGTAGTCTTAAACAGCGAATATTGGCCTAAACCTATCTTTTAACTGTAAAATTAGGGGGTCGTCTTATATGCCAGAAAATATGGTAAAACATTTTTAATAAAGAAAAAAGAAACTAGCCGAAACCGGTTTGGCTCAGTAGATAGAGCTTTGGTCTGTAGACTGAAGGGTCCCAGGTTCCATTCTGGTCAAGGGCATGTACATTGGTTGTTTGCACATCCCCAGTAGGGGGTGTGCAGGAGGCAGCTAGTCGATGTTTCTCTCTCATCGATGTTTCTAGCTCTCTATCCCTCTCCCTTCCTCTCTGTGGAAAATCAATAAAATATTTTTTTAAAAAGAAACTAGAATGAACTTTGGGTTGTGAATAAACATCTATTTCACTCTTATGTCTATATCTGTATAAGTAAATACATAGATATGAATGTGTGCATAACTTTAGGAATAGTGCATATGTTGTGTACTTAAATAAAGATATATTTTATATCTTGAGAACTTAGATGTAATACTGGATTGATCCCGAAGCCTGAGGTGCTTCTGTGATGGAGCCATGAGCCTGAGCTAGCTAGTAGCCAGGGCTGGCTTCTTGTTTTGCATTTTCAAAACTTCATTCCGTAATCTGGGCTTCTTCCTAAAAGGTCACTAAAATTGGCCCCTCCTGGAGGGAGGGGTGCTAAGCTGCCCTGCACTCTGCTTGGCTCTGCCCCTCAGCTGTGGCCTGGCTGCTGCGGGCGGGGCTCACGTGGAGGTGGGTAGAGGAGGAGGAGGGCGTGGCCAGGCCTCACTAGGTTCTGCTAGGGGAGGACTACTTTGAAGATGAGGAAGCACCAGCCCCTTTCTCTTCCTGTTCTAAATGAATGTTTAGTTTCGAGGAGAGGAAAGAAGGGTTGTAAGAAATGTCCACACCTTAAAATCTCTGCATCTAAATGATGCAGAACAGGTACTCAAAGCCAAGGGGCTGTGGAAGACGACAGAAAACCATCCTGTTGGAGAATCAGGGTGGAGGATGTACCTGTTTGGAAGTGCGGTTCCTCAGCCTTGGCATGTTGGGCTGGATACCGTATTTTTCGGACCATAAGACGCACCAGTTTTTAGAGAAGGGAAATGAAGAAAAAAAGATTCTGAAACAAATAGTGTCCTAAAATATTTTATGTGCATTAAAACCCAACATCACAGTCATAAACACATGTAATCAACCCTGTAAAGTAAACAGCAGCATTTAGAACCATTTTAGAGCCGGGCAAGCACACAGAGACCACACAGAGCCGGGCAAGTAAAAAAACTTTTTTTTTTAAGTATATGTGTAGGCTATATTTGGACCATAAGACGCAGGGACTTTTTCCCCCCACTTCTGGGGGAAAAAAGTGCGTCTTATGGTCCGAAAAATACGGTAATTCTCTGTTGTGAGCGGCTGTCACTGTAACAGCATCCCTATGTAGTGGCAAGCCATGTACCACAAAAAGAAATGGCAGGCCCTGACCTTGGTACCTGTGAAAGTGACTGTATTTGAGAGTCTTGGTCTTTGCATAGGTAATCAGGGTAAACTGAGGCCAGCCGGGATTAGGATGAGCCCTCACTCTGTGAGTGTGGTCTTTGTGAAGGAGGGAGATGGGAGGTTTGGATACAGAGACACAGCCACAGAGGGAAGATGGCCATGTAAAGATGGGGCCCGTCATGGGAATGATACAACTCCAGCCACCTCCCCTGAAGAGGGAGGAAAACAAACCTTTCATTTCTGCAACAACTATTAGATGTTGGCATGTTTGCCACCACCTGGGAAGTAATGCCCCGTGGAAAATTCCCAGCAATGACTGGAAAACGGGCAAGTAGCATAACTTGAGGAATGCTTGCAAGTTCTTGGCACCATCACTCAATATTATACAACTTTGCTCACCCCCCAACCCCTTCTTTTTCCATGAAATGAAACCCCCGGTAAGTAACAAGTCAGTGGCGGAACTTGGGTTAGGATATAGAATTCCTGCCTCTCCATTTTGTATTTCTTTTTGTGACTTAGCGTAATCCTTTTGGGGAAGTTTTTAAGCCACATCTGCCTGCATTTCCTGCCAATTTCCTTCAAATACCAGCATCTGCTGATCAGCCTCCTGCCAACTGAAAGCAATAGGTTTACTATTCTCCCTGTTTTGCTTAAAAAAATACCTCTGCTGAACAAAGAACTCCTAGTCTAACACTTTCTACAGACAGCCCTGCTTTTGCTCTTGGTGTGTGTGTGTGTGTATGTATATATATAAAATATTATATATATTTTATTGATTTTTTTCACAGAGGAAGGGAGAGGGATAGAGAGTTAGGAACATAATGAGAGAGAAACATCAATCAGCTGCCTTCTGCACAACCCCCACTGGGGATATGCCCGCAACCAAGGTACATGCCCTTGACCAGAATTGAACCTGGGACCTTTCAGTCCACAGGCTGACGCTCTATCCACTGAGCCAAACTGGTTAGGGCTGTTTGTATATCTTGCCTCTTAAAGGGATTTTCCCCAAGACAAAAATCACAACAGTTATGCATGTTCCTTTGCACTTGGGGCTTACTGGAGCCTGGTCAACACGAATGCTTCAAAGGGAGCAGGACGTGAGGGAGCAGGTGAAAGCTGGTTTATAAACATCGGATTGTACTTTTGTCACATGATCTGGCAATGGGAGGAGGTCAGATGGCTAGCATATTCTGGAACTATCCAAACGTCCCTGCCCTCTTGGTTTTTCCTTTTCCTTCTCTTCCTTCAACTTCTGTACTTTTAGATCTTGCCCAACCTGGGCCTAGATTCCTTTCTTTCCTAGTTGTAACTTAGGACCTAGGTGAGCCCTTCTGTCCAGTCCTGGTGAGAATAACCACAGCCTTGGAGCTATCTCCTTATCTCCTCAGCATTATCTCCTTATCTTACCTACCTCCCCCCCCCCTCCTCCCAGCATACTCTCTCCCCACTCCATGGCCACTGCACTTCCACAGTCCCTTGAAGTTGTAGCTCAGGCTTCCCACTCTGTAGCTCCCATTTGTATGAAATATGCAGGCTGGTTACAGTCAGTACTACCATGGTGGGCTAGTCTTGAGCCCTAATGACCATCAAACACACACTGAGGCCTACACTGATGATATTGCTGTGATTCATGCAGCCTCTTGAAACAAAACTCACTGAGCTTCATACTCATCAGCGTCAAGCATGTGTCAGGTGCTCTCTATAGTCATTTACGTGAAACAAGAAGAATGACAATGAATTTTTCAGCCTCTTATTGTTGCTGACAGGGTAAATGATAATAATAGTAAATGATGTCAGGCCTTCTGGAAAGGATGCTGCTTCAGGGGTAAGGAGTGTGTGAAGCCTTACATACTGTTCTGCCCGGGCTGGGTGGAGAAAGCAAGGAGGCCAAGCTGGAGCTCATGTTGTGCAATCTTCCTGGGTCGATGCTGGAGTAGATCATCTCCTTCCTTCCCGCCCCATCTGCCTGGGCCTTCCTGAGATACTTTCTCTTTCCCAAGAAGGAAAATAAGCCTTTTCATTAGGAAAAGATAGCCTCTGGGCAATGAGGATGGGTGCATGGTGTCTGAGAGGCAGGGTGAATAGTGAATATTAAATGTGGGTGGAGGAAAGGTCCTGTATTTCTGGCAGCCCAGTGAGACCCTCCGCATGGTTTCCTATAAATCACTGTCAGAAGGGAGTATGACTTAGGGCGTTCATTTGTGAAGGATGATTTGATGGGAAAGCACATTCCACATTCCAAAGCTGCAGGAGAAGGGACTATGCCTTCGGAACACCACGTACCCGAGAATTAGGTTCTGCTGGGTAGATATTTTTCCTCAAGCAGTATTGCAAACGCTATGTGCAAGCTGGAGCAACAAAGGCAACTGCTCACTTTGATACCATTTCTCATACAAAGAAGAAAGGGAAATAACTGGAAATTAATTTTGAGCAAAGTATAAAAAAAGTGAAGCAAATACAGCCAGGGCTAATGTAAACTGAATGAAGTTTAAGGAATGCAGCCAAACTGACAGTAAGGAGCCTTTTACTTCTCTGGGTTGTTTGATGAAGTTGGGGTAGTTTTCAGAGGAGGTTGGTCTGACGCCTGACATCAGAGAAACAGTAGCCAGTGTAGGAAAGGAAGTTCCAGGCCAGTGAGAGAGGCTGAAATGCAAATCTTGTTTCTGGATAAAAGTTTTCAAAAGAAGATGCAAGACAGGGGAAAAGCCAAGGGGATTTCGAGGAGGCCCCTGCACTGGAGCCACAGCCGGAAAGGAAGAGAGCTGGACCCCCTGGGCATCGTGCGTCCTCTGTCCCCGGCCGTGTCCCCAGGCTCAGTGCTCTCTGTGTTTCTTCTAATGCCCCTGATTAGGGCCATCCTGTGCCTCCTGTGCTCTCCCTGTCCTCTCATCTTCTCTGCCTCCGCATGCCTTGCTTTGCCCTGCCACTCTTATCTAATCCCTCAGTGTCTTCATTTATTTTTTATAAAGAAGCTACAAATTGTAGGATAACAAAATAAAAGTTATTTTAAAAGCCACTTGGTGTAAATCAATAGGGATTTTTCAGTTAAAAAAAAAAAAAGACCTAGAAACAATTGAAAATTTGGTCAGACTTAATAGCCCGGTATATTTCTGAATATCGTCAGATCTTCCTGAAAACATCATTTTTCATGACTAGTATATAGCACGGTAGCCGCTGGAAACTGGCTTTTAGATAATCACTTCATCTCATCTCGATAAGAATATATAATCACCTGTTCTTTTTCTCACAGCTTCACCTTTTATAAGTCTATCTGCTCGAGAAGAAATTCTGGCCAGATACTCCAACCTTTCCTTGGAGAGTCACAACCTATCCCTGACTGGTAAATGCATCATATTTATTTCTCTTAAATGTATATGTTTTTAAATTTTTATTTTAGAGAGAGAGGAAAGGTGAGGGAGAGAGAGATAGAAACATTGATGAGAAAGAAACATCAATCACCCACCTCCTGCACGCCCCCTATTGGGGATTGAGCAGAAGCTCAGGCATGTGCCTTGACTAGGAATCAAACCAGTGACTTGGTGCACAAGAGGACACCCAACCTACTGAGCCAAACAGGCCAGGCTCATATTTCTAATAATACGATGTGGAAATAAGCTTTTATTTTTCATTAAGCCACTGCATTTTACCTAGTGATGTATTAATCCATACCGATGGTCTGCTGGGAGAAATACTCCTTATACAATCTGCCCCTTATACAATCATAGTATCTGTACAGTATACATAACACCGCCTAGCAGACAATGGGGACTCTGCCATGAGGGTGCTGGGCTCTGAGTGCAAGGAAGAGGCAGCTTGTCTAGACATGGGAGCTGAGAAAGGCTCTCCGGAAAAGGAACACTAGGAGGGTTCATTCTGACTTGCAGATACTCTGACACAGTTTTTGCAGTGTATCCATTCAGCTCACTCTGCATTGAGAGGAGGACTCATTGAGAGGTGAAAGACCTTTAGGCAGCTCATTTGAAGATGCCCCAGGGAGTCCATGGCAGAGCAGGAGAAAAATGAGTCAAGACTTCTGGGCTAAAACTCAGCTCTGCTTCCCCTTTTCATGGTTTTTGGATTTGACAAGCAGTGTTTCCAAAGCAACCTCAGACTTCTTTAAATGAGTAAGGGTCATTATCTGTTTGAGTAACAATATTAAAAGTTCAAGTATCATTTAAAATAATTTAAACCTGTCCATTGAGTCAAGTACGAGTTTCATCCAATTATACGTCCTCTCATCTGAAAAACTGTTCCTGTACTTTTGTTTAGCAGGAATCAAAGGTGTGCTTTTTCCTCCCCAATCTGATTCCAAAGGGATGTTTGCGCTGCACTTTATCATCGGACATTTTTATGACGTTGTGCAACTTCTGTTTGTCCCCAAATATTCTTCCTTGCTTTTTTACTGTTTGCGTGTTCTAGTGACCAGTTCTCCTGTTAAGATGAAACGTTTAAGGGAATTCATGTGAATAATACATTTGCCAATCCTCTGACCAGCCCGAGGGTGTTGGCAGCATCACAAGCTTCAGCTTCCAGTCCAGCAGGCGCCTGGGGAAGGAAGGTGCTCGTGGCGAGAGCAAGAACTGAATTTTTTTAGTTGATGCTGGGCTGGTTATTTACTTAACCTGTTTGGAGGGCTTAACTCCTAACTTCTCTTTCATTCTGAGACCGCTGTTAAAACCGGTATCCCTACTGTTATGAAGGCATCAAGTATTCACAATTTACCTTCACGTTGGCCTGATGAACCTGAGTCAGCAGTTTTCTCTTCCTCCCAGGCCCCTGAACTTGGGCTTGCCCAGGTCTGCATGACTGCATGACAGCCCAGTCACGCTGTGTGTTACCACCACTAGGTTGTCCAATGTCCTCTCAAAAGCTCCTGCTAGCAGGCTTTCCCTCCCTATGAAAGAAAGGCCTATTTTTGTTGTGATTCTGAGAAACTTGCAGAGCCAATGTTGGGAGCATGTTCATAGTGCAATAGGCTTCTTGAATCCAGATTTTCCTTATTTAAGACCTCATTATGCATTTTTATTTTTATTTTTTTGCCATTTGTAATTCTTCTTTTGAGGAATGTCTATTCAGGTTCTTTGCTCATTTTAAAATTGAGATGTTTTATTGCTCTTATTGAGTGTTATTTATTTATTTATTACATTTTATTTATTTTTTAAATCCTCACTTGAGGATATTTTTTCCATTGATTTTTAGAGAGAGAGTGGAGGAGAGAGAAAAACACAGAGAACACTGATTGGTTGTCTCATGCAGAAGTCCTGACCACGGCCCAAGCCAGGGAGAAGCCTGCAATGTGGTATGTGCCCTTGACTGGAATCAAACCAGGGGCCCTTTGGTTCGCAGGCTGATGCTCTATCCACTGAGCCAAACTGATTGGGGCTGCCATTGGGGTTTATATGTTGTAGTGCACTTAACTATTTTTAATAAGAGTTTCTGATTTAAAGCATGTCCTATGTAATACATTTTAAGAGGCTTTTTAGTTTTTTTTCCTTTTTTTGTTAATAGGTCAAAGGAGACTTTTATTTCAAGTGAAATGATACCCATTGGACCCATTAAGGTTTAACTTGTCATTTTTTTTCAAAGATCACAATTTTCTTAAAGGTCCATATGCCTTAAAATTTTTAATGATAAAAATAAGAGTATTTAGGCAGATGTAAATTACTATATAATTTTAGGAACAGTCTTTTAAAAAATATAGTTCAGAAATTGAGCAAGCGGGTAAAGTCCTGGAAATGTACATGTCTTGACTGCTTTTGTTAACAGTCTAAAAACGCAGAATTACAGCACTGCAGTTGAGGAGTCCTGGGGAAGTTTATACATTGTGCACCAAGCTCAATACGGTGTGTTGGCTAACCACAAAGTATTTTAGACTTAGTGGTAAAACTCTTTCTACATATTTCGATGCTTGTGCTTTGCGAATAGGAAAGCAAACAAGTGTAGAAGCAACTGAAAGTATATGAAACAGGACACCCCTCCACAGGTTGCTTCCTCCTCTACCCTTGACAGCTACAGATTTTAAGATTAAGATCACAGCCTAAGGCTTTTAATGTTTTAACTGAGCTTTTTCTTAACAGTTGCCTGTGAAAGAGAATAATAAAGGGAACCACATCTGTGTTAACAAGAGAAATAATTCGTGAAAGGAATGTCAGATGAGGAAACTGTCTCAGTAGAACACTAGTCTTGATTTAAACTGTTTTCTATATTGGATTTTCCCCTCTATGTAGTTTTTACAATATCATTTGGTTTTGTTTTCTTTTGTGGCTAATAGAATATTCCAATGTTGCAGTAGAAAAAAATATCATTTTGCAAAGACCTTCTAATGTAGAACTCACGTGCCAGTTCACAACATCTGGGAATCTGAATTCAGTAAATGCGACTTGGAGAAAAGATGATGAACTTATTGAGAATGGCTATCTCATCAATGCAACGGGAAAGATTCTGTATACCCAATACATGTGAGTACACCAAGTTTTAAGCTGGTTAGTTACATGAAATTACTACTTAAGTTCTAAATATTTTTGTTGATGTGGAATTTTTTCCATTTTCACCTGAATGTTATTACAACATTTTCTTTTTTAACTAAGTCTTTCATAGCTACTTAGAGAACTAAGCCCATATTAATAATTTAAATTATCTTTAGGTTCACCATCATTGATAGCAAGCAAATGGGAAATTATTCTTGTTTCTTCCACGAGGAAAAGGAACAAAGGGGCACATTTAATTTCAAAGGTCAGTACTAATAATTTATAGAGTTATAACTTCAGAATACCACATCCCCCAATTTTTATATTATTACTGCAATACTAATGATGCAGCTGAGAGAAAACCATATGCTTTCCATTGAGTCATTAGTGGCAACCTTTAAAATAGTGCTTCCCGGTGTCTTCCCTATGTATTATTTGTATTTCTCAACCCACTTCCAGTTGGCTTCCAGGCCCTAATTTAAAGCATAAGGTTTAGTTAGAAAGACCAGGCTGCCAAGTTACTTGTAAATCACAGCAGCCTATTGAACCTATCTATACATCTATCTTAAATCACTCAATCTATCATCCATTCATCCTTCCATCCACCATCCATACATCCATCGCTCTAAACTCAGAGCTTTCATAGAAGCCCTCCAGGTAACTGAGTCACTGTACACTTATACTGTGAAACTATGCGTCCCTCAGTGGCTCTAGAACTTGGAAATTTAAGGGTATGTAAAATTCAAAGATACTATGAAGATGCACAAAGGGTTCCTTGCTTTTGATCTCATCAAGTAAGACAACCCCAGGATATAAACCACAGCTTTCCCTGTGGGAACAGCAAATCAAAGTATTTTACTCTTTCCATCATTAAACCAAAACTTCAAAGGTCTCAAACTCATAATAAAGACTAGCTATTTTAGTTGGATAATTATCTTTATGAAAAACCCACATTCTGTGATAGATTAGTGAACATAAGGTCCATGCTGCTATTTGAGAAACTCAGTCTGTCGCCACATTAACTATTTTGGGCTTTGCTTCGCTTTAATTTCCCAGGACACATGAGAAATCATCCTCAAGCCTGGCTAGCTGCCCTGACAAAATGTAGATACTGTTCTCAAGGCCCCATCAGTAGTGGAACGGTCTGGCCTGCTTTATCATTTCCGGGATTTAAGATGGTTCACTCCTGTATTTCTCCTGTATTCCCTCTACACTTACTGACTCATTTCCTTCATGTGGTTCTGTAAATGTTCTTTCCTGGTAAACATAATAAATTCTTATGTTTATGCAAATTGGCCTCTGCAGAGGCAGAAACTGTTATCATTCTTTGATTATTTTGATCATATACATTCTCTTTTAACTTTCCTTAATTTGCCTAGTTTAACTTAGTGAGGGATAAATGATATACATTCCTTCCATTATTCCTTTTCTTTCCTTTTTTTATTTTTCTTTCCTTTTGTCTTTCCTCCCCCACTTTTTCCCTCCCTCATTCCCCAATGAGTTAAGAGGATATTGAATACCTGTACACACACATGTTCATGCACACACACAGTCCTTGTACTGTATTGAGCCGCTTTAAAATAAGAAGACCTATGGGTCTTAAGAAAATACTCAACAAATCTTGAGCCTTGATGTGATTCCAAGAAATACAACTTTAAGAATTGCTTCTCCCCTTTTAAATGGCTATTTTCTGCGTACTAGTTATGCCTATTGAAAGTTTAAATATTAAGTATATTACATTTTTCTCATTAGCTCTCTTATAATAAAGTACCTGAGCTATTACTGAGAATTGATCATTTTTACCTCTGATGTGAAGATTAGCAAAGGCATTTCACCTTTTCAGGTACCAACAGGTTTAATGTCAAGTGGTCTTGGAGAAGGTTTCTTGATTTCCTATCTATTTTGAGAAAGCAAGGCTGATGTTGGCTAGAGTATCAACACTAAAACTAGATCTGAAATCAAGTGCTTGAGAAATGAAATTGGCACGGAATATTTAGAATCTTTGAAAAATAGTTTCCTTGAAGCAGTTTAGCTCAGTTTATTAGAATTTTTTTGTTTTTATTTTTACAAATATACTTTTATTGATTTCAGAGAGAGAAAGGGAGAGGGAGATAGAAATAAAAACCATCAACAAAGAGAAAGAATCATTGATCAGCTGCCTCCTGCAAGCCTCACACTGGGGATGATCCCACAACCTTACTGAGGATTGAACTGTGACGTCCTGGTCAAAACTCAGCCACTTTGCCATACTGGCTGTGCAGATGATTAGTTTCTTAATTTAATTTTATTTATTTATTTACTTATATTAAGGTATTACATGTGTCCATATCCCCCAATGCCCACTTAACATTAATGTGACTTTTAAGCATGTACTATATCATGAAGATATTTATAAAATAAGTTGAGCCCTTCTAGATCTTTTTTAGTGAAATAATAATTCTTTGTAATTCCTCTAAATTAATGTTGTTTGGAGAAATAATTTAATTTGATTATACTTCAAAGATGTGTGGCATCTGCAGAACAACTCTTATTATAGTTATTTAATTAGATCTATTAGAATGGTATATATTTCTATCAATTCCCTATGCTTTCTGCAGATGGGTTGCTTATGATTTTTCCTAAGAATAAGGATTATCTTTCCTTAACAGTGCTACAATGGAGTGTGGATGAAAAGCCTGCTTTATTCTCTATTTTAAGTTGAGACCAAAAAAATTCTTCTGTTGACTACATGAGTCAGCTATAGTGCATGAGCCTGAGTTCTCAGAACAATTCATCAGCATAGTTCCAGCTTCTGCCTTTATGAGAGCTGGTTGATTAATTACTACAAGATTGTAAAAGGGCCCACATCGCTGGTTAGTACAATACAAAAATCCTACTTACTTCGTGGTCTGGCTAGTGATGCCAGTTACAGGGGCAACAGCAAACCTTGTAATTACTTTTCACCCTCGAAAAATGAGTGATGGTATTAAAAAAAAACACCAGCAATTGGTCTCAGTCAGCAACTTCACCAACTTTAAACATGGCTTCTTCCATTTCCAAGACTCTCATGTGTCCTGGTTTATCCAAAGCTCCAGAAGGTCAATCAGACACATTGGAATACCATATTCCTGTCCTTTTGTCATAAATATTTCCAAATGCAAGCAGCATCCAGAACCATGTGTGACTTGCAGAGCACTTCTAACAAGTTATGTTCCGTGAATGTAGTACATGTTATAATTTAGGTCCACATGGCTAGTATCAGCCATGTAAAGCATGGCAAAGACATGGTGACTGTCATCTTGGCCTTTAATCTAGAGGACAGTAAAAAACAAAACCAACAGAAGATGAAAAGAAAGCAGAGTTTTGGTTTTGTTCCCTTCTTGTGTCACTGTCACTTACCTACGGTCTACCAGGTACACCCTGACCTTAACACTTGCTTGAGATGATCTAATAGCCCATCAGTATGTCCCTCTCCCAAACGTCACAAAATACCCAAGATTTTCTTGAAAAGCCCTTTTCAGCTAGCAGTTGTGCTTCCCAGGTCTGTGCCTCTTAGACACTTACTGGAAAGGGTATCTTCTACCTTATTTCTCCAAAACATTGCTTTTCTTCCACTTTGATTCCTAGCCTAAGTAAACATCAATGTTTTGATCATATTTCAATACATAGTTTCCTTCTGAATCATGACCTAACCTAGTTCCAGAAAGAACGTGCTGAGATTGCGACTTAGAGGAGATATCTGGGAGATCAGCTGGCTGGGGAGGCAGAAAGGCCCTGGACTGGTGCCCAGCACAGCACAACCAGCTTCGAAGTAGCCTACAGAACAGTATGTGTTTAAGACAAGCCCACCCTGGCCCTAGAAGTAATTGCATCACAGTAACTGCGTTGTTAAAATGCAGTACCAACTATGTGCACTCTCTGCCTTGCCAGGTGATACCCAAGCATAGCTCCCTGCCCTCTGTGGGTTGGAAGGAAACTGGATTCAGGAAAGAATCTGTTTTAGCCACACTCAGATCTCTACTTCATCTGCAAGGCTTTCATGGAGGCCCCTCCTAAAGTGGATTGATCTTTCTTATGTTAATGAGAAAAATGAAAGAAACTGACTTCAACTTAAATATATAGTCCCTACTCAAACTCTTTCAGTAATCTACGTTTCTCTACATTTTTCTTAGTCCCAGAACTTCATGGAAAAAACAAACCAGTGATCACTTATGTGGGGGATTCAACTGTATTGATATGTAAATGCCAAGAGTGTGCTCCTTTAAATTGGACCTGGTACCATATGAATGGGAGTGAGCAGGTAAGGTCATATTTCTTTAATTTGAAGAAAAAAATAAAAAATTTATTTCACAGTAAGATTATAACAGACTTAGAATTCCAAGGACTATTTATATGTCTGCTATCTTTTTCTTTAGTGTGTGTTCATAGAGAAAGAATAGTGATAAAGGGAGTTGTCATTTGATGTTTTTAGTTTTTTATATTACACACCGGAAAATACTCTTAAATGTTTCATTACTTGTTGTGTTTTTGTTTTTTTTTACATTTAGCAATCTATTTAAATTCTTTGAAATAAAGTTATAATTCATTTTTATTTGACAACTTTATTAATAACCCCAACAACAACAAAGAGGTTCTTTTTTCTTGTCCTTTCATAAAAGTAACTGGAAAAAAGGCCGTTTTCCTTTCCTGCTGCTGTCTCCCTCCAGACACGCTTGTGATAGGAGGCAGTACAATGGCACCATCTCAGAAAAGAATGACAACTTGGTCCTTTGAACTTCTGTCTTAAGTTCTTCCAGTAACTGGCCATGGCTTCTTTTGGCCTTCCAGAGACTTAGGGAAGCCAAATGCTTAATTCCTATTAAAGAATTAATGGGTAGTCAAGATCTGATTTGGAAAAAACAAACACACACACACTTGAGTATTCAAGAAGTCATTCTGGCTCTCTTTCTTCCTCCCAAATAGACTCTAAAAGCATGGAAATGTAAGGAATTATCCCATCACCCTGCTGCTAATGGTCAGGAAATTCAATTCTGTAAAGGCAAGCTGTAATTCTAGAAGGAACAGTACGAAACAGTGTACACTTTAAATGAAACATTGAGTTCCTTCTTTGACAAAGTTGATGCTATCATAGGCTGATGAAAGAGAACAGGGAGAGTGACTGATTCTGTAATAACATTGGTTTGATTATTCAAAGAAGCAGCTCCCAACCATCTGGGAGTAGGCAAACAATTAACATTCCTGCTTCTCTTCTTTTTGCTGATTAGGAAAGGCAAATAATTTTAAAAAACATGTAAATATGTAAAAATTATCAATTGTGATATTGGAAATGTACAGTCAAATTTATTTATGCATATGTGACACTGATGAAAATACCCTAAATCTAATTATATTAAACTTCTAGAATGTAGTCTGTGCAGTTCTCCATTTGCGATACTCATTTTCTCTTATAATTTGGCCCTAAGCATGGGTCAGATTAAGATGTGAGAAAAGTGCAGGGAAGAAGGTGCAGTCAAAACTTTAGGTCAAGTGTTTTGTCAAAGTGTGGACCAGCCATCTGCACCAGAATCCCCTGGGATGCCGGTTACACAGCCCAGATTCAGCAGCTCCAAGTTAGAAAAGACACATGGGTAACAGTGTCATCAGCAGTCTACTATAATTTTGGGGGCACATAATAAAATCACCGAGAGTTCTTCATCAAATAACCTCCAGGAGTATTTGTATGCAGGTGAGCATCTATTGAGTAGTGCAATTGAATGACAGAGCAGGGAAGGCATTAAATACTAGTAGCCTGAGAATAAAATTGAATTTAAATGGATTAAATAAATAAGCCCCCAAATAGCCTAGTGTGACTCTTGAGTGGCTGGGAAAACCCAGTGAATATCAGAAGCCAGCTTGCGAACGAGAGAGAGAGAGAGAGAGAGAGAGAGAGAGAGAGAGAGAGAGAGAGAGAGAGGGGGGGGGGAGACAGAGAGAGAGAGAGAGAGAGAGAGAGAGAGAGAGAGAGAGAGAGATTGATTCAGATATGAAAGGACAGAGAGTGCCCAGACCACCACGTACACCAGACTCATGGGGGATGTCCACCCATCCTTCCACATCATCTTTCAGGACAGAAAATTTCGTCGTCAGTCCCTGTCAGAGGAACTCCCAATCTCCAGAGCCAGTGATCTTCCTTTATAGGAAGAATCATATTTAGTAGCTTCATTCATTTAATAGTTGGTTGAATTTATTCCTGTGCTCGTGAACGGGAAAGCTCTTGAACAGCTGGCTGGGAATTTGAATGTGAAATTCAAATATTTGAAATAACATTCAAATATTTGAATGTTAATTCTCATATAATATTTTCCCATGATGACCTCCATATTGTGATTTCAGACATTCAGTGGTAAGTACTGCAAGCAAAGTATACTTCATCTTTTCTTGTTACCTCTTGGAGATCAAACTCTGATAAGATGAGTTCTATTATGTATAACTTCTCACAAGTTTTAACATGCCTCCTTCTGAAGGCGGTTCTCTTAGCCCTATCTTATAGTTTTTGCTCAAAACTAGATCATTTAGGACATGTCTCCTGTACGCAATATGATAGGAATGGATTTTAATGTCTCCTTATATTAGGTTCCTCTTGATGTTCAAATGAGCGATAAGTATGTGATCAGTGGACCAAATGCTAATGAAACAAGGCTCAAGATAATGCATCTTTCAGAGGAAGATCAGGGAGCTTACTGGTGCCGTGCAATATTCCAATTAGGCGAGAGTGAAGACCACATTGACCTTGCCGTGCTGAGTTATTTGGTGCCCCTCAAACCATTTCTTGCCATAGCTGCTGAGGTTGTTCTTTTAGTGGCTATTATTCTGCTTTGTGAAATGTACACCCAAAAGAAAAAGAACCGCCCAGGTAGGATTTATTTTTTAGATAACATTCTCAAGTTATGACTTACTATATTGCAGGGGCTTCAGAGATCTTGGGGGGAAATCTAGCTTTTGTTACTTGAAATGGCATTTATGGTAAAATCAATGGTGACAGTGAGCTTGAATGGATGATCTTCCTGTTTCAATTTACTAAACTATTATAGTACTAAAATATATCTTTTTCGCCATTTTCTGTGGTGTTATTGGTGCATACATGTCAATTAGGTAATATGTGCTTTGTTCCTGGAATACTGGGGAATTCTGTGATAGCCCAATAGAAAAGATTTCAAAGACAAATAATTGCTTTTTCACTTAGATAACTCACTTAAAATAGTTGATCAAACAATTTTAGAGTTCTCATTAAGAGACTAGGTCCTGTCAGTTTCCTAGTTTTGTAGCCTATACCTGATGGGTTATGGGTTGAGAAACCAATGGTTTTCCTATAAGATAATTTATCTTAAATTCTGTATTCTTTCCTGATTTTGTACCAAATTTTTAATAACTTAAATAAATTTGTAATTTATCAGTCAGTCCTGTTTTGAGAACTCGAAGTTCAAGACTGTGCTTGATAGAAATTTTAGGCACAAGAGGAGGACAGGATGGAGGTGCAGCTGTCTAAGGTAGTTCATCTGTCATTCCAAAGAGGGACACAGCACATAGCATTCCTTACTGGGGTTGGGGGTGATTTGAATTAAACATACATGCTCCATAAGAATAATGAACCAATCTTAATACCCATATTCTTCTTTTGTTACACAGATGATGGGAAAGAGTTTGAACAAATTGAGCAGCTGTAAGTAGTATTTTTTATAATTTTTCACTTGAGTGAAATACAGATAAATATGAAATAGAATAAAATGCTTATAGTTAGGGGAAAATCAGGAGTATATTATGTATGTTACTTGCTTTATGTGTCTGTGTTGTAATGAACATCTGGAGTTTGCCAACATTGGAATCCTGTTTTCCCCTGGAAAAGAGGGTTTACCAGTAGCATCTACAATATAGGACTGTTGGGTTAAATGATATTCTCTGTGTAAAAGGGCCTAGTGTGGGCTATGATGCACAAAAGGTGTCAGTCTTGTCTACAGAATCTGAAGCCCAGACTTGTATTCTTGCTCCGATGCACATTGAGTAGATAAAGCACCTTGTTCATCCTCTAATTCTGTGTAACAAACTCCTGATTGTCTATTACCTTGCATTTGTCAAAACAACATACATTACAGCCATCTACCCAAGCCCTCACATGTGCTTAAGGAGAAGCAATTCTCCCTTTGAATAAAATAGACAGGCCCTTGCCAGTGACATCTGCAGCAACAGAATCAATGACATAAAAAAGTCAACATTCTGAGTAAAAATATTTTTAAGAGAAAATTCCTGCTGTATTCACTTTTCACATTAACCTGGTAGTCATGATATAGATAGTTACTGACTTAATTTTATGCATTGTAAACATCTAATAATTTCCTTTTTGTATTTTCAATACAGGAAATCAGACGATAGCAATGGTATAGAAAATAATGTCCCCAGGTACAGAAAAAACGTAAGTTACTTCTAAATGCTATTCCAAATAAAAGGTAAAATTCAATATACATAGGCTGTCTATTAACCCAGCTACTTAAAAAAAAAAAAGTTTCATTAAAGATCTAGTCAATCATGCCCTGACTGGTTTGGTGCAGTGGATAGAGAATTGACCTGCAGACTGAAAGGTCCCAGGTTCGATTCCGGCCAAGGGCATGTATTTTGGTTGCGGGCACATTCCCAGTAGGTGTTTCTCTCTCACTGATGTTTCTAACTTTCTATCCTTCTCTCTTCCTCCCTGTAAAAAATCAATAAAATATATATTTTTAAAAAGATCTATCCAATTACTATGTGCTTGGTTCTGCTTGTTTACGATATTATGGGAGAAAATAGACAGTTATACAAAAATAAATGACATCTTTTTCCCCACCAGAGAACCAATATAAAAGTAAACCTATTGTACTGCCTACATCTATGCTTTTTCTTTTGTCACCATGGGCTAGTTTCTTTTACAACTTTTCATGTAGTCTTATTTTTTTCCCCTTCTCAATTTTTCTGGATTGTCCTATTTTATCCTGACATATTCCATCTTTTTTTGGTTACTATTATTTTCTTTACTGATTAGAATAAAAATTTTCATAGTTTGTCAGTATTTTTCTCCTGAGTAGGTAAAATAGGAACTGTTGGATTTAGCAGTAGTTTGGATCACCCCTTCCTAGAAAGTTTTGCTTTGCTAAGTGATGATAAGCCATTACAGAGTAACAGGGGCATGCTAATTAAGTTTCATTATGTTTTTATTTATTTAACTCAGGAATCTGTGGGCCAATGAATGAGAAGCCTCATGCCAAGACTCATGGGAAGATGTACAAAGAGTTTGTGCTTATGCTTCCTGTCGAGAAAATCGGAGTTTTTATTTTTAAAAGAATAAAAAGTTTAAGCACCATGTTCAGTAGTAGCTTTGTAAATAACAGGTACTATCTCTGATCTAAAGATATTTTCAATCTGCAATTTTTTTTATATAAAAGCAAAGTAAATTATATTAAATATGTTCTATGAACTATAACCCAGGATAATTAATCGTATCCTGGTCCTCCAGGGACACACAGAACAGACACCAGCTAATGTCACTCAAGACCTGTTAATAACCAAAGAATTCATTTAAAAGGAAGCCTTTGTCATTTGTCTTGAAAAGTATTTTCCCCCAATTGTGCTTACTATGTACAACACTATTTGTAACTAGTAGCCCTGCGCATGAATCCATGTGTCAGTAACTCTGTGGGGCCTGGCTGCTCTGTGCCTGCTGCCCAGAGGCTCTTCCTGGCCGGGTGTGGAATGCTTGCCTCACACTGCCCGCTTTCAGTGGCTGTCCCCTTTCCCCCGGACTGGGGGACTTCAGCGGATTTGAGAGGACTGGGTGCCTCCATCTTTGTGATGGAGTGACAGTTAATTTGCATATCACCCTTTTATTAGATAGGATATTCATCTGAAGTTCATCATTCTTTCATATTGAAAAGAAAAAAGTGTGTCTTTACTAGAAAAAGAATACTTTTTGTTATTGATGGTTACTTGCTACAGTCACCACAGTCAAAACATAGTTTTCCTCCAAAATTATCAGTTGAAGGCAAGGAAATAAAATTGCACTTGCCCCAAAGCTCTGTCACCACAAAAGCGCATTTCCCAATCTTTATTCCACCCACCTCTGCGCTTCCCTACACCAGGCTCAAGTGGCTCTTAGTCCTATGTAGAGCACTTCTTATAAAACCACAGATTTGGGGTTTCGTAAGTCCCTTCAAGTACTGATGCTGTGGCCATAGGGTAGGACTGATACCAGGATGCTTCTGTGGTACACAGTTCCCTGGGATCTTTGACTTAATACCTGGTTTTCTGGTGTCCATGGCTGGCTAAACTACACATCTAAAAACACAACCCTAAGCTTTTGTCTGAGACTGGGAAGTGCTACACCACTTCTGTGATGTTGCAAATGCCTCAGACTTTTCTTCAAAAATAGACTTAGTTTCTGTTGCATTTGTAACTGAAATATTACGAAATCACTCTAACCAAATCAAGTGAAATCTCCACAGACATGACAATTTCTCAGTGACTTTAAATAGAATGTTAAAACTCTACTACAGAATACTAGATTGGGTTGAAGACAGTAATATGAAACTTCTTTGCTGGTGGTGGTGAATTATTTTCATCATTAATGTGCCTTGATAATAATATCTGTGTGATTCTCAATGAATCAGAAATGCCTGTTATGCTTTTGTAATAAAATTTACTTATGAAATCAGTGACCGCTCATGAATAATTTACTTATGAAATCAGTGACCGCTCATGAATAATGTTGTCAAAATTACTTTTAGTCACATGATTAACTTGTAACATCTATATTTCTTACTCTCTCATTTCCCAAGGGGAAAATGCTAGGGAGATTTGTTTAGGCTAAAATTTCCATATTAGTTTTATGTGTTATTTATTATCTTTAAGAATTTTGTTCATAAAAAGTGATTCTGCTATTTAATTTGTGATTTAATTTCAGGAAATAATTTAGCTCAAATTCTTATTTTTCTAAAATTCATTTGATAATCAAGTGAATATGAAAGTTATTACATATATAATAAACTATAATGATATTAAATGTTCAAAAATATCACAAAATATGTTTATATTAACTACTTATCTCTTAAGATGTAATTTAGCCATAAACTTTACTGTTCTTTTTTAAATAATCATGGATTTATTATGACACAGTTCCTAATTATAATGTTTCCATTTTTTAGCATTATGTGTCTAAGTTATTAATGCCTTTCTGTATTATGTAAATAACAGAGAAAATGTCTGTATTGGAACATTTAAAAAAAACTTTTTGTTGTGTATAACTCAGAGAATGTATCTAATATGCAATTAAATTCAATAAAGTGCCCAGCCAGGATGGCTTAGTGGTTGAATGTCAATCTATGAAACAGGAGGTCATGGTTGGATTCCCAGAGTACATACCAAGATTGTGGGCTTGATTCCCAGTGTGGGGTGTGCAGGAAGCAGCCAATCAATGATTCTCATCAGTGATGTTTCTATCCCTCTCCCTTCCTCTCTGAAATCAATAAAAATGTATTTTTAAAAAATCAATAAATTTACTCTGAACTAAAAATTTAAATGCGGATTAGAAAATATATTTTCAATTTAAAAATATTTAAATAATGATTAAAGCAAATTTAAAGGCACTAGATAGATAATATAAAATACTAATTTTTTTCTCTGATTATACTCAAAGGAAATTCAAGCTTTTTAAAACAATTCACCCTTCTAAAGCAAACAAAACAGTGTATCTAGAATTAGGACTGTATTTTGACACATCAAACAGGAAGTTAGAAAGGAATTTTCAAAACATACCAAACAACACATTGTAGGACATTCTAGTTAGCTTCATAATTTAAGAAAAGGAAATAAAAGACTCACAGATTGGAAAGGAAGATAGAAATCTGTATTTATTTACAGATGACATGACGGTCAATAAAACATCCTAAGCCTAAGAAATATACCAAAAACTCCTAGAACTGATAAGTGAATTCATTCATGTCTGAAGATCCAAGTATAACACATACAAATTAATTTCAATTTTATATAAAGCAATGACCATATGAAAACTGAATTTAAGAATATGATATCATGTATAATCTTTCAAAAAAAAAACCTCTTAGGTATAAATCTATCAGGATATGCACAAGCTAATACCATGCTGAAAATAGTAAAACACTAATGAAAGAAATCAGAATTCTAAGTAAATACACATCCCATGTTTATGATTAGAAGTCAACAAAGTATAGAGATGTCAGTACTCCCCAAATTTATATACAGATTTAATGCAATTATTATAAAAATCCCAGCAATAATTTTTTCTAAAGATAAAAGTTATATGTTTCTAAATTTTATTTGGAAAGAATAAAGAAATATAATACCATGTTGAAAACACAGACAACAGTATGGTGATTACCAGAGGGAAAGGGGGAATCAATGGTGATGGAAGGAGGCTTGATGTGGGGTGGTGAACACACAATACAATATACAGATAACGTGTTATGGAATTGTATCCCTGAAACCTATATAATTTTATTAACCCCACCCCAATAAATTCAATAAAAAGAAAAAAAAGGATGTATCACATTAAAAGAGATATAGAATCTCTACTTCCTTTAATTTTTGTTTATGAAAAGATGTTCAAAATATATAAAAGTAGATGAATATTCAAAGAAAAAAGACATTATAAAGCTACCCTAACCCAGGCTGTGTGGTACTAGCAGATGGACAGGGAGAACAATAAAACAGTAAAGAACTCAGAAATTGCTCCATACAATCCCTACTGAAGAGTCTTTTCAACAAATGATGCTGGGTGACTGGATATCTCAAAAGATGAACCAGATCTTAAATTTCACAAGTTTTACAAAAACTATATCAAAATGGATCAGAGATTTACTTATAAAGCTTAAACGTATAAACCTTTCACACCCATGTTCATAGTGGCACTATATACAACAGCCAAGAGGTGTAAACAACCCAAAGGCCCACCTAACAGATGAGTGGCTAACAAAATGTAGTACATATATTTATACAAGGTCATATGAGTCAGCTTTAAACAGAGACTTTCCGTCACATGCCTACACTATGGATGCATCTAGGGGGACAATATACTAAGCGAAGTACCCCCGTCACCAAAGGAAAGCACCCCGGTTCCTCCTGTGAGGTGTCTACAGCAGCCAGCGCTGGGTGGAGGTGGAGGAAGGAGGCTGTTGTTTGGTAGGCATAAAGTTTGCAAGGTGAAGTCTGGGGATCTCTTTCACAACAGTGTGGATATATTTAACACTACTGAACCCTAAACTTAAAAATGGTTAAGATAGTCATTTTTTTTTTTTTTTTACCATGTTAATAAGTGATAGGATAGTCCTGGCGGGTTGTTCAGTGGTTAAAGTCTGAGGACAGAAGGGTTATGGGTTTGAGTCCTGTACCTTGAAGAGGGCATAAACCTGGGTTATCTTTGGGATCCAGGCTTGGTGTCTAGGCATGACACCAAAAGAACAATTCTTTGTTTGTTTGTTTTTTTAATATATTTTTATTGAGTTTTTACAGAGAGGAAGAGAGAGGGATAGAAAGCTAGAAACATCGATGAGAGAAACATGGATCAGCTGCCTCCTGCACAGCCCCCATGGGGGATGTGCCCGCAACCAATGTACATGCCTTTAACTGGAATTGAACCTGGGACCTTTCAGTCCGAAGGCCAACGCTCTATCCACTGAGCCAAACCGATTTTGGCAAAAAGAACAATTCTTAGCAGAAGAGGGAAAACAAGATAAATTATATTTTATTAAAACTAAAAACTTTTAATCTGCAAAAGACCTTACGAGGATAAAAAGATTAACTACACTCTGAAACAAATATTTGCAAACCACATACCTGACAAAGGACTCATTTAATATATAAAGAACCTCAAAATTCAACAGTAATAACAAAATAAATAATCCAGCTAGAAAATAAGCAAAAACCACAAAGAGCCACTTCATCAGAGAGGATATATATATAGATGGCAAAGCACGCACCAAGATGCTCAACATCACTAGCCATTTAGGAAATTCAAATTAAGATCATTAAGAGCTATCACTACATAGTTATGAGGATAGCTAAAATAAACAATCTTGACATTACCAAATGCACATAAACAAGATTTCCCATATGTTTCTTGTGGAAATGTGCAGACACTCTGAAAGGGAATAGAGCAGTTTAAAAAAATAATAATAATAAACATATTTTTCACATGACCCACCAATCACATGCCTAGGCATTTATAGCAGATAAATGAAATGTTATGTCTACACAAAAATCATGATTATATATAGCTTCACTT